TACTAATTATGATTTTTTAGAGCTTAAATCTTAAAATTCTAAATCCTAGAAAATCTTTTGACACTTAAAACCCCTTAAACCCTCAAAACTAAACCCTAATACAACATAATTAACCCAAACATAAATGATATAATGAATAAATAATTTTGAAAAAGTGACATTTTTGTAAAAATTGTAAAAATGTGATATTTTTTTAAAGTGGTAATTGAAAAGTGGTATTTTTTAAAATTTCTCTATTATATACTATGATAAAAAGTCATAAACATATTTGTATGGCATTATGACAATAGATGGTCCAGTAGTGAGTATTCAATTCAAAAACAAAATTTGGCCAAATGTTTGTTTATTGATGCTTTAAAAATATGTTTTTTAGGATTTGTTAATAATAAGATATTGGAAAATAAAAATATGTACGTAAGTGTATATTCTGTCCGTTTAAAAATATAAGATGTTTTTGAGGTTTTTTTGTTTCAAAATATTGTGTGACTAATAGTATTCTGTAGTCTTTTTATAATTTATTAAATGATTTTTGTCTTATGTATTAAATGATAATTTGTGAATGAAAAATAATTTTTTAATCTCCGTGTTTTTAAATAAAACATCTTATATTTTGAAACGGAAAAAATATATAATATCTTATGACTTAATGCTGTAAAAAAACAAGATTTTTTCACACACAGATAAAAACAAAATTTCTTAGCAAAATATGATATAAGCGTATTAAGAATATTCCGAATATTGAGAGAGCGAGAACATGATCATTTGATCTATCATTTTCTCAATTATTTCATAAACTGATCGTGCATGCATCATCGCATGGCAAAATAGCAAAATAACAAAACAGTTTTACCTGTCTGTCACCTGTAATTTTATTTCCATAATACTCGTACTATCGGAATCCGATCGATCTTTATCGTATTTTATATCTTTTTTTTTCTTTGAAAAAAATCTTCTATTGATCGTATTTTATATCAGTATGTAGATATATAGATATTATAATTATCGAGATATCTAATTATTAATTTAAGCAACTTGAGTTTTAATGATATGGTTGAAGTTAAGGCTGGACGGAGAGCGGATATCCAAAAAAATGCAGTATTTGTGATTTGATTGGTCTTTGTTGGAAATCTAATTTTTTGATTTGTTTTGTTTAAAAAAGTTTTGGATATCCGGAATTACAGAAATTTGGATTTTTCAAGATATTTGCGGATATTCAGATATCCGTTTTAAACAAAACAAAATAATAAAAAACCATATTTTTATGAATTTTTTTTTCATATAATATTTAAACTAGATAATGAATAAATAAATAAAATTATCTAATTTTATTCGATATAATTAACTAAAAATGAAAAAGTGGAAGATTAAAATGGTAAAAAGTAAAACATATATTTTTTATT